AGCTATAAAAGTGCAAAATATCAAGTCTGTAAGTAAACTAAAAATATCCTAATTTGCCTAAAACTAAACCAAAATCCAATGTCCCCATGACTTTCCTGGTGTCAGTCATGGAAACAGCTGGTGTCAGGTCCAGGACACAGAGCCACTTCACTTCCTGCATTTCCATGGTGTTTATTACATTTGGATTTGGACTGAAATAAACATTTCAAATAAAACAGCAAGGGATGCGCAATTAAGCAGACTAAGATGCATAATTTGCCATTTATTTGAGAAATAACTGCACTTTGAGCGGCTTTTTCAATTGTTACGAACACAGGCGCTCAGAGCAGTCGACCATTTTGACTCACTACACTCTTTGGTAAAGTTTGGGCCGATCAAAATGGACGAAGCGCATGAGTTTGGCAGAAAACAAAGTTCCTATTGGACATTCATTTTCCCTACGTCATCATTTAGGGCGTGTGTGATGTAGGATAATGCCGGAAATAGCCACAACTCTCAAAAATATGTATTCTGCTTTAAAAAGGTCACGTACACACTTAATTTCAAACAAAAATGAAGTAAGTGGGTGGTTTATTCCGATTTTTTAAAGACAAATTAATTTATTCCTCAGTCATGTAAACGTTTCTTCTTAAAAATAATTCCAGTCGTCCAGCGTGTGCTCGTTGAGTCGACCTTCTGACGTGATCCGCCTTCACCAGTCCAGGCTGGTGTCACCTAGGGCCTCTGCTCAATTTCATTTCTCAGGAATTGGAATACACTAGACAGACTGTTTGCAAGAATCCTGGAAGTGCGAGTTCAGGCACCGGCCAATCAGCGAAGAGCCAGACATTCTGTGTTGGCAACGATTCCCGAGATCGAGGATTTAAAGCCGGAATGAAGAGAATATTTAGTGAATTTTATCAAGGGGAAAGACGTTATTGCCCTTTTTCCTACGGGATTTGGGAGAAGCTTAATATACCAGTTAACCCCGTTAGCGGCGCATTACATACGTCACGACCAAATAGCAGCGATTGGTTAAATAAAAAAAGTACCCACCTACCATCGAGCGAACGAATTGTAACGCTGCGAGGTCAGATGGTTTCCACGAAGTGAAACTGGCTGAAGAATCAAGCTAGCAACTGTCAGCTTTTCAAGAAAAAAAAAAAAAAAACAGTAAATTTTCTCTCTTTAATAGTTTTAAAGTTACGTGAGGTTATATAAAACATATTTTCAGGTATCGTATACAATACCGTCGGTCTGGAAGGGTTAAACTCCATACGCCTTCACTAGAATCATTTGGATAATTTCAGCCCTGCCAAACTTTGGAGATGTAAACAGACTAATAATAATGAAACAACATTCTAAAACTCACAATAATCCATTTTTGGGAATACAGGACCTTGAAAATATGGCAAAAACAATAGCTGCCATTTAGAAAAACATGACTCTTTGCAGACTCATTGTTGTGATGACGTTTATGGAGACATCTGCTCCCATTGGTCACCACAGTTTTCATTTCTTTGTAGATAAACACGACGATTTCAAATATGCAAATTATAACTATTCATGGGTATATGGCACGGGTATAAATATATATAAGCACTTTAACTGGAATCATCATAACCCCTAACCCAAAGAACTGTTCAGACTGTACGACCTGCCCATATCCACACGACATCAGTCCATTCTTAAGCTACAGTGGCATCCATTGATTGAGTCCAAGAAATGCTTCGTATTTCCAATCACAGCAGCCACACAAAGACGCGCAGTAATTACGCTTCAGAGGAAGGCTGACCACATGTATCGGCGTTCTCTGGCGTGACACTTTATACTCACATTTTACTGGCAAATGCTATGCAAAAGACACACTCTCACTTCCCCGTGAAATCAGTACAACGCACGAGTACGGACAGGCTCAAATGAACTCTAGATGTTTTAACAGTCCACATTTATCTTGCTTTAATGACCCATAACCCACATTCACTAAAATCACTGTGAATGTTTTTAAATGGTGGTTAATGTGATAATGTTACGCTTCCAGATGTGGGCAAGAAACAGTTTTCTCTATTGATGGCATTGTACTTTGCCCTGAAATATCCAAAAGGTGAATGCACAAATGTTGAACCTGATTTTTATTAGTGACTAGACTCAAGAATTCACTGAATTACAACAAAACATCTGTATTTTAACTACTTGTGCTCTGTTACGTGGCATAATGGCTTAAAGGTCTTGTACCTGTTATTTTTTATTTGTTTGTTTGTTTTTGTTTTCGCATTTTTTGTCCTAACAACATAAAAATTGGCATTGCACACACTCCTCCCATCCCTCTCCCTTTAGATTTGTGTGTCAAATGATCTCCATTTTCTTTATCTCCATTATTTTTTTAATTATTATTTATATATATATATATATATATATATATATACAAATATAAATAAGTATATTTAATTTTCAATATAGAGATTGTAGAACAGCTGGATATATAGTTTATTTTGGATAAATTCATGTTTTTCTATGTCTTATTTCATGTTCAGAGTATATTTTATTCATTTTATACATCGCAAAACTGCTCAAAGGTGGATATTTGTACATATTTTGAGAGAGAAATGCTGAATAAATACATCATGTAACTAAAAAAATAATCATTTGAATAATCATGATTTCAGTATTGACCAAAACATTCGTGATAATGACTTTTTCCATAATTGAGCAGCTCTATCACTCCCCCTTCTGAGAACTATCTCAACACAATCAAAGTTGCATCCCAAGCATCAGGCTTGTGATGTTGTTGTGTATTGTTTTGTATATTTATAAAGAATTGGAGAGATCGCTAAATTACTCAAACATGCATGGATGGTAAATGGTCACATTTTTATACAGCGCTTTTCTAACTTCAAGGCACTAAAAGCACTTTACATGAAGGAACCACTCACCCATTCACACACATATTCATTCACAGACACTGGGGGCGAGGTGGGTTAAGTGTCTTGCCCAAGGACACAACAGCAGTATTCATCTGTGAGAGCTGGAATCGTACCGCTAACCTGAATCTGACCACTCTACACTGCAAAAAAGCTAATATATTCTTGTATATACTCTATACAACACTACAACATTTTCACCCCATGTAACAGATAATACTCCCTACAACTGTACAACAACTCACCCCTATGTGACAGATAATACTCCCTACAACTGTACAGCAACTCACCCTTATGTAACAGATAATACTCCCTACAACTGTACAACAACTCACCTTTACGAAACAGATAACCCTGTCTTGACGATCATTGTGGCACTATTTTTATATTTTATTACTTATTTTTCAATTTTATTTTATTTTATTTAAAATTTTTACATTTTATTACTTATTTTTCTATTTTGTTTATTTTTTATTTTTCTACTTTATTACCTATTTTTTTTTGTTTTTATTTTTTCTATTTTATTACTTGTTTTTCTATTAATTTTTTTTTTCTATTTTATTACTTATTTTTCTATTTAGTTTTTTTATTACTTATCTATTTTATTTTCACTTGTACATTTACATTTATATAACTATGTCCTATCTCACACCTCTCTCTAGCTATCTTTTTTTGTTTTTGCTAATTATTTAGACTTTATTTTATCATTTATTATTTTTCATTATATTTTTTTGCTCTTTGTAGCTCACACATCACAATATAATATAATAACAGTGTCCAAATAATTTCCCCTGTGGATCAATAAAGTTTGTCTAAGTCTAAGTCATATAAACAATGAGTTGCGTATACATGCACATCAATAACCCGGTTATGATCGGGTTTTTTGAGTATCCCGGTTTCTTGATGGTGCATGTATACGCAGTAACCCGGTTTCAGTAACCCGGTTATGGCAGTATCCCGGTTTATCCGGTTATTAGAAACCGGGTTACTGTAGCTGGTTTATTCCGATAGTAACCGGGTTACTTGTGGCATGTATACGCAGTACCCGGTTACTGCAACATAAAGTTGAGTCGCATGCGTCCAAAAGACACTTTCCAGCCTTTCACCACAACAGTAGTCACATAAATAAATTGACCAACATAAATAAAGTGACCAAACGAGTGAAATGACTGTAAAATAAAGAGCTGCGCTAAACCTGCACACGTACAATCTGCACTCGTACGACCTGCACTCGTGTGACGCTGAAAAGCTAAAACATGAACTATCTCCTATACTCTACACACGCACGGAACACACTTACCACCATTAGTGCCTCTTCTGTCACAGAAATAACACACATAATCCACAGAGTCGTGTCATTTAGTCCAAAAGAAACTGATTGCATCAGCGGCACAAGGAGCGAGTTGTTTTTATCGCCGCTAACAGTTTATGCTAATTAGCCAAACGGTCTTAAGTTTCGTTTCTGTAAAACGTAAACAAATGTGATCAGAGCTGAATTATTTGATCAAACGGGCTGATGTGTCTATAGTGTTTATGGTTTATATGTTGTAAAGTTGAGTTTATTTATGCAGAAGATTTTAATGAAGAATCTGCACAGTGGATTGTGGGAGATCTCGTAGCTCCTTAGCTTCTTATGCTAAAGGAGCTCACGGTTTGTATTTTTCCTGCTTTATGAAATTGATTTAAGTTAATTTTTGCGCCTGCGCATTTGTAAGATTATGTCAAGAAACCGGGATACTCCATTTGATCATGTATACGCGAATATGAGTATCCCGGTTTCTCAGTGCGCATGTAAACGCAGTAACCCGAATACTGACATAACCGGGATATGGCTAATAACCGGGTTATTGATGTGCATGTATATGCACTCAATGACTTAAAAGTAATAAAATGATCTGTCCGTGCAGCAAGATCATTTTACTTGACAAGTTATCTCAAAACAAACGACCTCTAGACTAAAATTAAACCGTTTCTGGTCTAGTAAGTCGATAATAAATCTGAAAACAAGACGAATAACCTGATATAAGTTTGAAAATCAGAGAAATTTGCAGAGTACCAGTGATGCTGATGAGTTTAAGACAGAAAAAGTTTGCACAATACCTCATAGCCGATGTCAATATTAGCGCCAGAATAATTCCATCCATAACGAACTGTGCTGAAAGAAAAACAGGAAAACAAAGCGATTAGATGAGACGCAGGTGAACTTATCAGCGGTTTTAATAGCGGAGGAGATTGGTGCTTTTAAACGAAACCTGCAGACGCGCTACAGAGGGGCCCAGCTGGCAGAATCGGGTTAAAAAGACGACGAATAAAAGACGGTGTCGCCGCTTTGTCGGGCGCGAGAAAAACTGCAGCATTTATAAAACTCATTAAGACGCAGTTAATGAGTTGGAGCGCTCAAAAGGCCTGACCTATGACTCGTGATTTACAGGCTCAAAGTCCACGCGTCAATGGACTGTTGTGACGAAGCTATTTTCATCAGAGCTCGTCAGGATTCTGGGAACTGTCTTCTAATGAGCTTTTTTTTTTTTCCCCTCTGTTGTTGTTTTCTCTTCTTTTTGCTAATGATGTGTAATCTTTATTTAAAGCCGCATTGCGCTTTTCAGGTGGAGGGTTAGATCGTCTCCGTGGTGATGTTATTGTTTTGCCGGGAATGTTCTGACGTTAAACAAATCTCTAAAGGGTTACTCAAACGTGTGTGGATGAAACAGAACGACCAAAAAGTCCAGGTCTGTTTTTGATTAAAATAGCATTTTAGTGACTTAAAGTTTTTTTTTTTGCTTTGTCTGGTTTCATGTAGTCAAGACGGCACTAATCGAGACCAGGACAAGTCCAAGACCACAGGGTCCCGAGACCAAGACAAGACCAAGACAAGACCAAGACAAGTCCAAGACCACAGGGTCCCGAGACCAAGACAAGACCAAGACAAGACAAGACAAGTCCAAGACCACAGGGTCCCGAGACCAAGACCAAGACAAGAGCGTGACTTTTAAAGGACGAGACAAAAACAAGACCGAAACCACGTTCACTCGTTTTTCAAAATAAAACCAAAAATAAGAACATTAAAAAACAGCTATTTTGTTCATTATTTGTCTCCAAAATCAAAATGAAAAACAGATAACAATTTGATTTTCAGTTTTGTATTTTGCGTTTAAATTAATAATAGAAAAAACGGATAGCGGCCGTTTCCCGTTTACGTGACTTAAACTGCGATGTCACACTGAACCAGGACTGAAACTTGACTGAACCAGAACTGAACCAGGACTGAACCAGGTCTAAACCAGGAATAACCCGATCTCAGTCCCGATCTGGTCCGGTCTAAGTCCTTGTCTCAGTCCTGGTCTTAGTTCAGGTCTGGTCCCGGTCTTGGTCTCAGTCTAAGTCTCAGTCTTGGTCTCAGTCCCGGTCTGGTCCGGTCTCAGTTCTGGTCTCAGTTCTGGTCTCAGTCCCGGTCTGGTCCTGGTCTCGATCTCAGTCTCAGTCTCAGTCCTGATCTCAGTCTTGGTCCCAGTCTGGTCTCACTCCTAAACCAGGACTGAACCAGGACTAAACCAAGACTGAATCAAGATAGTCGGGACGGGCCCAGAGGTGCACCCGTGTAGACTGTCAGGTGATCAGGGCTGAAACCGGGACTGAGACCGGGACCAGACCAGGACTGAGACCGGGATTGAGAGCAGGACTGAGACCGGTTTAGTCCTGGTAGACCTGTTTTAGTCCTGTTTTAGTCCTGGTTCAGTCCTGTTTTAGTCCTGGTTCAGTCCTGGTTTAGTCCTGGTTCAGTCCTGGTTTAGTCCTGGTTCAGTCCTGTTTTAGTCCTGGTTCAGTCCGTATCTGGCGCAAAAGTCCGGCGTTGCAGTTTAGGTCACTGAACTGACTTTTTTTTTTTTTTTTTTTCATTTTGGAGATAAATAACAAAGAAAATCTCTGTTTTTTTTTTTTTTTCATTTTCTTATTTTTTATTTTATTTTGAAAAACAACTGAACGAACGACACACGGATCATTTTTGAGCAATAAAACCACCTGTAGCTGAATAAACGTAAGGTAGATCAGTTTAATGTCACACTGTAGAACATCCTAGACAGAGCAATGCCATTTTTTTTTTAGTTTCAAATTTTAGTATCGCGACAAAAGCGCCCCTCCGGTACGGCTCCGTGCATGAATGAGCCATCAGCAGAGCTCTCCGGTCGGTCTCCTGTCTGCCGGCTGCTCTCGCTGGTGTAAAAACTCAAGTGTTTATGGGAGATAAGAGGCAGAACAGGTCACGGGCCCCATAACTCCGTTTATCACCCCTCATCCGCGCGCCCAGGCCTCGTTTTATGGGTGAATTTGCAGAAGACGAATTTTTAATTAGAGAAGTTTGTGGAGCGAGCAGCACTGCCCTAATGGGAGGAGTAAAAGGAGCAAGGAGAGGACATCTGCACACGGTCATTACAGAGATATCTCACAAAATGGGCCAAAAATAAAAAATAAAAAGCGATGTTAAATTGTTATTATTATGCTCTTTTAAACCTGACTCACAACTCAGACTGGAAAAATAAAATTACACTATTATATTACACTATCTGTCAAAACAAAGCAGCGCCAGACCGTTAAGTGACTCCCGCTCAGACTAATGCGGGCTGTTGACGTGTCCTTAAGCAAGACGCTTCAGGGGCTCATGTGTCATATCTCACAAAATGGACCAAGAATAAAACATGTGAAAAGACATGTTAAATTGTTATTATTATCCTCTTTTAATCCGTGTATCATCCATTAATTTGTTTCTCAAAATAAAATCAAATACCAAACCAAATGAAAATGAAAAAAATTAATGGAAAAAAAAAAAAAAAAAATCTCCAAAACTAAAATAAAATATAATTATAAAAAAACAAAATAAAAAAAAAACATAAGAATTTTTTTTTTTTTTTCTCCAGTTCTTGATTTTGTGTTTAAACGAATAATGGGGGGAAAAAAGGGATAGTGGTGCCAATTTAGTACTGGTTTAGTCCTGGTTCAGTCCTGGTTTAGTCCTGGTTCTGTCCTGGTTTAGTCCTGTTTTAGACATGGTTTAGTCCTGGTTCAGTCCTGGTTTAGTCCTGGTTTTGTCCTGGATTAGTCCTGGTTTTGACCTGGATTAGTCCTGGTTTAGACACGGTTTAGACACGGTTTAGTCCTGGTTTAGACCTGGTTTAGTCCTGGTTTAGTCCTGGTTTAGTCCTGGTTCTGTCCTGGTTTAGTCCTGTTTTAGACATGGTTTAGTCCTGGTTCAGTCCTGGTTTAGTCCTGGTTTTGTCCTGGTTTTGTCCTGGATTAGTCCTGGATTAGTCCTGGATTAGTCCTGGTTTAGACACGGTTTAGACACGGTTTAGTCCTGGTTTAGACCTGGTTTAGTCCTGGTTCAGTCCTGGTTCAGTCCTGGTTCAGTCCTGGTTTAGACCTGGTTTAGACCTGGTTTAGACCTGGTTTAGTCCTGGTTTAGACCTGGTTTAGTCCTGGTTTAGACACTGGTTTAGTCCTGGTTTAGACCTGGTTTAGTCCTGGTTTAGTCCTGGTTTAGTCCTGGTTTAGTCACAGTTTAGACCTGGTTTAGTCCTGGTTTAGTCCTGGTGTAGACCTGGTTTAGTCCTCAGAGCAGCCTGGACTCCCTGTTCTCCAGACACTTACAGAGGACGTCCCAGAGGATTTTAAAAGTGGTGCAACATCCACTAAACTCAGAGTTTCAGCTGCTTCCCTCTGGTCCGAGGCTTTTAGTCCCAAGATCTAGAACAAATCGTTTTAATAGGAGCTTCATTCCAGGTTATGAATAAATTGTAATCTATGTATCTATCAACTTTAGTATGTTTGCATTGTGTTTTTATATATATTTAATATTTATTGTGTTTTTAGTCTAGTGTGATGGATGAATTTAACTCATTGTTTATGGAACAAACCTACTACACTTTATTTTGTAATTGTGTTTATTGTACATAATGTGGATGTATGAAATGTGAAATGCGGGACCAGCCTCTCAAATCTGCAAAACAAATTTACCTATGGGTACAAATAAAGCAACTTAACCTAACCTAACCTCTGGTGCAGTAATAGCTAAAAAAAAAAAAAAAGACAGAGGGGACTACATAGACCATGATCCTTTGCTCCATTTCAGTGCAGACTACATGAAGAAATAACAGTTCTAGGCACAAAATATTGCAATAAATATCGTACCGAGAGATTTGGATATCGTTACATACCTAGTACCAACATTATAACATGACTTAAAGCTCACAAGAGTAAATTTTGTGTAATATAGGGCGTTTAAAGTAAGTGAGGACTAACCGTGGACCACTGCAAACGGTTCAAAATGATCCAGCTCTGTTTCTCACATTTTTAAGACAGTAAAAATCTGCTACAGCACCTTTAATGACTTCTAAAACAGCTTTGTTTAGAGAAAGATTTTGTGGGAGTTCAAAGCGGGTTTGAGGTGCTGGGAAACGAATTTGGTTTATTGATTTTCTTGGAGGCTTATCTTTATTAAAGGAGTCTCTCTTGTCTCGGAATTACTGACTTTGGCCATTAAGGTGTGCTGATTCTATTTCCCATTATTGTAAATTCCTGCCTCAGAGACTCGGATGGCTTAGGTTAATAGGAAATGCAATGTTGTGTCCCGGGTTAATCGTATCACAGTCTGAGGAAATAATGCCGAAGTTTTTATCGCTCACAATATAATATAAAAGACATCAGGAGAAGGGGATGGCCTATACCCCAAAGACACGAGGTTTATTAGAAGAGAGGGAGGACGGAGGATTACTATGATCACGGTCAGACGCGAGGACAGCGGAGGCGATGGCTGTCAGGCCTGAGTGGTCTGGGCCGATCACAGGAGTGGTGCTAGTACTTTGTTTGAAATGTAAATGTTAGTTATGAGGCGCTTGTGGCAGTAGAGAGAGTCATGGTCAGGTAGATAATGATGATATAAGGGTTGGCTTTATGGCAATTTTATTCTTGTTTTTCAAGTTAAAAGCAACCTATAACCTTTAGTTCGGAGAGATTCCAAGTCTGAAATGATACAAATGATTCTAGTGGAAGTGTACAGAGTTTAAAAACACAGTGCACTTCTTGTATTACTACATGATATCCAAAGGTATTTTCTGTTTAAGCTCCCAGACCACATATGGCCCTTTGGTCGACTCTAACCGG